CACGTAATCGGGGAGTGTGCTGGGGGGTGCATAGCTCCTGTGCTTGCTTGCTTATTAGCTCGCTTGTTGGCTAGCTTGCTCGCTTGCTTGTTCGTTAGTGAGCTGTCACTTGTGGGGCTCACTCGGACTCTGCCTCCATCGCTCTCTGGCTCTGACTCTCGCTACTCAGGACCTGGCTGTGCATTGGTTGGTGGGTGGTGAGCAATTGTAGCACATGTTTTATTTTCATTACATGTCATTGGTAGTATTGTTAGTAGTATCACTATAATATTCATTTATATTCAACTATTAAATGGGTCTTAATTCATGAGCTACCTTGTCCTTTCCTCTGATTCTCCTCCTCCACGGGAGGAGCGGGGAGGCAAGTGAGCGGCTGCGTGGTAGTTAATTGCTACCGAGGTTAAACCACAACACGCTCGCTAACAAGATGGGAGTGATCTGGTCCAAACCAAACCACTCGTCACCTGGGGAAATTCTGCGCTCAATGAGAACTCCAAGTACCCTCCTCGGATGCTGCCTGGGAATCCACGTTACAGGACAGCTCTCGCCTGCTGGGCACTCGCTAGATCCCGCTGAACCCCCGCCTGCCCTGCCGACGGCCCCGTGCAAGGGGTGGGTGAAGGAAACAGGTACCTGCAGTGCACCACAATGGGACCAGCATCAGGGGGGTTGCAGGTTTTCACCCGCCGCAGGAAAGCCAGGAATGGGGTGGGGTACTCGGGTACCCCGTGGTCAGGCCACGCTGTGAACTGGAACTGGCGGACCTCCCGCTTCTCACTGGAGCCATTCTGCAGAGACAACAGAGCACCGAGAGCAAGGTGAGGTACCGGCACACCGCTGTACCCCGCCCGGGCTGGGAACAGAGAGCGTGCCACGGCCCATCGCCGGCAGAAGACAGGAGCGGGAGAAAGCTTACCTTGTGAAGGGAGAACGTTCGGACACAGAACGTGGCCAATTCAATGGTATCGAGCAACGTCACCTGAATCATCCCGTAGGTGTCTGTACCTCGGCCTGGCCAATACTGGTCACACTTTATCTGGGAGACAGGAGGCATCGCTCAGCGCTGGCACAGACCCTGCGCTGCAGGGGAAGCTCCTTCCAGAGCTGCCCTGATGTTGCTACAGGGGAAGCTGGCCAGGTCGCAAAGGGGAAGGAAGGTGCAAGAAAGACCTTTCCAGAGCACCAGGTTAGGGACAGACCCAGCATGAAAAGCTCCTACTGACTAAGCCCAGGCTTTGATGCACCACATCAATCATGTAGACAATAGACTGGAATGATCCTGCAGATTAGAGTGAATGTACTGGGGCTTGTTAAACAAGAGAACCACATGTGAAACTTGCCACATGATTAACTCCGAGACAGACCTACAAAGCATGCAGCGGGATTGAGTGGCCTCTTCTCCTGGAGCTGCAAAGGAGGCTGCAGCTTCCCAGGGTGAATGGTTTGCTTTTTTAAAAGCAATGAATCACTGAACTTTCAGGGTGCTGGCAAAGCAGGCAGAAATCCCCCACTGACACAAAAGTGGGCTGCAGATCAAAGGGATTTGCTGTTCCCCAACCCTACCCTCCAATCCCCCAGGATTATGACTAACTACTCATCCCTCTCATGCATCTTACCCGTGATTTCTCCTCCAGCTTAGTCATCATAACAATAGTAGCTGAACGCTGCTCCCACACCATCCTCCAAAAGTCTCCGAAGGTCTCTGGCAGGGGTCCCTGCGTGGCAATGTAGGCATTCTGCTTCCGGTAGCCGTCGATGTAGTTGGCGTTAATGTAATCGCTGCCCACAATCCCTGTGTGCAATCAGCAAAAGCAAGTTAGTGAGCTGTGCAGGAGTTAGTGAGTTGTGCAGGTCGAAGCAGGAAGAGATCTTTGCAGGAATGTTGTAGGAGATAATTCCCCTGCAAGAGCACCGGAGCCTTCATGGTTTGGTGGGTCAGAATCACAAGTAGGACTAACAAACAGGCTCTCTGCAAGTTTTTCCCAGCTGAAGCTCCTGCCTCCAAGGTCTGAATTGCAGGGAGACAAATAACTTTGTGGAAAACATACTCAAGAGACTGAATATCAAAGCGTGGTCTTACTGGTGTTGCTAACAGGAGAAGTCCTGGCCTAAGGCTCTTACTTCACTGTCCTCAAAAAGGACAAACCCAAGTCCTTGTCCCCAGATGCCCAGAGTCTGGGCAGCGAATGCACCCAGTCGATGCGCTGCGCAGCCCAAGGCCCAATCCCAGGCAGTGAGGACAAAGTAGGGAATAAAACCAGGCTTGAAAGGCTTTGAAATTACAGGCTTTGACTTGTTTTAAATTGTCCGCTGTCATTTTTAGGAGTGGGTTTTTTCTATTCGCATGAGTTACAGGCTGTTGAGTTCCAGCTGCTTGCCTTGTCCTTGCTTGAGGGGTTCGGTACGAGTGGCAGGAGGTAGTGCTGGAGTGAAGAGGGTGATTGGGACATGGCAGGAGAAAACCTCTCTAAAGTGAAAATGGACACTGGCAAGCGCTGCCGTTCAGGTTCAGCCTTCGAGAGCCTCCGCGACTGGCACGGCAGACCCGCGCTGTCGGGCCATTTGGCCCGTTCCTAATTACGGCAGAGCGGCTGGCAAGGCTGGCAGGCTTCTGCTAACCTATGATTAACTCGGTACAGAATGCTTCAGTCCCGTCTCGAGGGGGAGCCGAGGGTGGGGAGCAGTACCAGTATGAAATTGGGTTGCTAGTCCTCATCCTGCTGTAGCAATAGACATCGCTGCTTCTGCTGGCGAGGTGCAATCCACGCTGAATTGCCTGCCAGCCCTCAAGGGTACTTGGTAATTTCAGCTGCTGGTAGAAATGGCTTTTGATTAAATTTCTGGAGGGTTCCCTGCCCCCATTCCTTCCCAATCCGAAATTTCAGGAGGGAAGGCGGCTGTGCAGCCGCAGCAGGAACATGATCAAGGCTGAGCTTCCGGAATTAATCTCCTCTCCAGCCCCCTCGGGTCCACTCTGTAATTTAAAATGGTGGCCATGAGCTCCTGCAACATTTCGCTGCGTGACAGACCCAGTTACTGAGAAGTTGTGGAATTAAAGCCACTACTTCTTCCTGACCAAGCAGACGGTGACAATCTGCAGCCTTGACAAATACAGATTTAAAACAAAGAGAAAGCAACAACTAATTCCTCCAACTCCTTTCATCTTCCAGCCCTCAACATAAAATACAGCCTGGTAGGAAGGAACACACCAGCCAAGGCATGTCAGAACCTCTCAGATGCTTGAAAATTAAACCTTGGCTCGTCATACTTGCACCATCGGTCCCACTCGATGCCACCTGGGCAGTCAGGGCTGGTGCCTGCATCCAGCCCCGCGCTTCCGCCTTCCCAAGAGCCGAGATCAGCCCAGCGTGTCCTCCATTTCTACACTCGCGCTCTTCCCTTTTTCCCTTGAATGACAAGGCAACTTTTAAAAGACTTTGCTTTCCTTGGCTCATACAATATTAATCTCGGAAGAAAACCAAGCCAGAACACAGTCATCTTCAGAATGAGAAAGACTGAAAATCCTCGTGCGGCAGACAGGACCAATCCAGATTTGTGCAGCTTTCTGGCAAATCACCATTATCTGCCGTTACCTCAGGGACAGCTCTTCCACCTCCCCACGTCCCTCAGAGTTACTCGGCAGAGGGAGATTATTCTAGCAATTCCCAAGTTACAAAGGCTTCTGCTTTAGCCTCTACCTTCTCCGGGGGGTTATCAGGACATCCCGCACCCTTTCTGCTCAGGTCATCAGCCCTTGGCAACACAAGGTTGGCTTTAAATGCTTTTTCCGTACAGCACAGCCACACACAACCCAAGACGCCCAAATTATCTCGGCAGCAGCAAGCAAGGCAGGTGCCCTGTTAAACTCCATCCCCTCTCCACTCCCTCTCATCCTGGCGTCCACCACAGCAACTCGGTCAAGAGCCACGAGTTGTGAAATGCAATGTCAGTTTTCTGGCCGTGCCATCGCTCAGCGGTGCAGAAGCTCAGGAAACTGATGACCTACCAGGCTAACCCTAACCCCTTCTTATTCTTCACCTTTTAGCAGCAGGAGCTGCGTATCAAGTAATCCTTACGTCTGTGCAGCTCGGCAGCCACGTCTCTGCTATGCAGCTGACACTCGCGTTTGCACAATTAGCCCCGTGCTTTCTTCTCATTCAGCCGCCGTACGGACACGCTCCACGTTCACGGCCACCCGCCTCCCTGGCCCTGCTCTTTCTAAAGCACTGTGTGCTCTGAATCCCTCCCGTTTGTCAGAAATGTGTCGGGCAGGGATCTCTAAGCAAAGGGAAGACAGTTTCTTGATAAACCAAGCCCTTGAAATGAGAGCCTGCCGCTCCAGGGAATATGTCAGCCACGACAATTTAACAAAAGCCTGGTTTAGAGGTATTTCCTGCTTGCTGAACTCCCAGGGAGACGTTACGAGAAGAGTATCAGTGGAGGGGAAGAGGGGAGGGAGAGGAGCACGCGTGATGTTTCCCTGCAGCAACTTCAGCCTCGCGCTAACGCGCAGGAGTAGCGATGCTACAGACCTTCGATGGGCAGCAGGATGACGCGCGAGTGGTCGTAGGCAATCACGTTCGCGTAACGGTTTTTGGGCTTGTTCACTTCGAGGTTGGAGTGCTCCCAGGTGAACTGCTGGCCAGGGTCAATGGACTGGAGGAATTGGGAAAGAAAAGGGAAGAGTCAGAGAGGAGAGAAGCAGCAAATCAAGCTCTGAATACCTTGTTTTGCGTGGGACAGATCATGGCTCTGAAGATCGGGCTGAGGAGCGCAACGTTCACCATTTTTGGTGAATTCACCTCAAGAACCCATCTTTGCTGTGGGAAAGCCCCAGCCCGGTGGCACAGGGTGTTGACATCCCGTCTCCCTCAGCCCCATGCGCACCCCGAGAGGTACCCGAGGGAATTACTGATGCTGGGCAACCCGGTGCCCAAAGCATCAGTGCGGTTCCAGGCTGCAGCACAGCGGCCTCGGGTCGTACTGCTGCCGAGGCTGCGCTGAATTAGTTACAGCCCGGTGTTACTGACACTGATAAACGACTGGCAACTGGGAGAGAACAGGAACAATCACATCGGGATGTATTTATGAAATGGTGAAGAGGCTAAATCTGTGCATGGTTAAACTGAACAACCATTAAGAGAGCATAAATATACCGGTGTCGCAGTGAGTACGAATACCTGGGGAAGAAGATATTTAAGCTAGGACAAGGGTTATAACCACGTGTGCAAGCGGGAGATGGAACATCAGGGAAAACCCTTGCTGTCACGGGCAGCAGGAAGGGATTGGGCTGCTCCATGAAGAGCAGAGACGGCATTACTCGGGAGCACAAAGGCTCCGTGCCGAAGGTCCTTCAGGTGCCAAGAGGGGAGAAAGCACCACGGAATCTGGTAGGTGCAGGAGTGCATTTCCCCTGCCCTAAGAAACTCAGTCAATGTGGCTTTTTCCTAGAAGGGATGAAGGAGTAAACAGTGAAATACACTGGAGAGAAAAATCCTCTCTGCCTGTCCTGGTGATTTATGCCAGGTTTGGTGGTTGTGGGGTTTTTTTTCCTAAAGTCCAGCTGTCCCAGATATGGAAATTAGGTTAATTACGTTTACCTCTAAATCCTCAGCCAGAGAATTAAATAAAACAAGGGCTTAATTCCTTCATCATTTTGCAAAGCCCTAGGGGTTTGCCTCAACTGGAGGCTTGGCAGGAGTGTGCCGTGTTGTGTTTCCCGCTGCTCGCTCTCCCTCTCCCTGCCTCCTGGCTGAGGGGGAGAGGGTCCGGCATGCACCTGCCTGGGCTCGTCCCTCGCAGCTCGCAGGGGTCAGCCCCCGCCAGGCACCCACTGCCCTCCCCTGCCCGTGCCGAGCCCGGAGCTCGCCGGGCACAGCTCAGCTCCAGCGGTCGTGGCAGCGCTGGTACAAACCACCTGACACCGACGTCCTCTTGCACTCTCGCTGCGGAGCGTTTCTAACTAATGGGTATTTATACTGTTGTAATGTGTCTGTTTGCTCTCTATCCCTCTAATCTCGCCTCGCATTCATTTCATTAGCGATGTTTGTTTAGCTCCGGCTCTCCCACTAGAGGAGGTTGAGCTGGAACGCAGCCAGGGCACTCGGGATACTGCATTATGCAAATCAGCCTTTGAAATCTGGATGGAACATATTAACAGGCTGCTGCTCCCCCCACGCCCCAGTGTGGGGTGAAAGACCCCACCAGAGCAAAGGCTCCTTCTCCACTGCGCAAACCCACTCCCTGGGTGTGAGTACAGAGCTGCTTCGCGCATGCCAGACCAGGGAGAAAGCATCCCAGAACCGGTCCTTTGTTCAGAAAACATCCCCTCGCTCTGCCTGCAAACTGAACTAGGCAGCCTAGACTAGTTATTAGTCTAAAAGTACCGGGGTAATTTATGTCTCTGAACAACAACAACTCAGTTGTATGCTGAACCTGCAGTGAACGCAGCCCGCACGCGGACGGCGCCGGCAGCACCGGGCGTTCCCTCTGGGATTTAACCAGGGCTGATGGAGCTACAACACCACGAGCAGATGGTGCTGGTTTGTGCAAGTGCATGGCCCTTGGTGATGAGGATGCCATGCTATGTTGCAGCAGCGGTAACGGAGGGGGCGCTACGATGCTCTTTGCCTGCCCCTCTCAGTCTGCCTTGGGACTGGCCTGACCCCTCAGCCCCGGCAAGGTGGGAATTTTGCAGTCTGGGCCTACAAGAACGTTGGGGGGGACTTTTTCCAAGGGCAGGGAGTGACAGGACAAGGGGGAACGGGGTTAAACTGAAAGAGGGAGATTGAGATGGGACATCAGGAAGGAATTCTTCCCGGAGAGGGTGAGGAGCGCTGGGACAGGTTGCCCAGAGAAGCTGTGGATGCCCCATCCCTGGGAGTGTCCAAGGCCAGGCTGGATGAGGCTTGGAGCAACCTGGTCTAGTGGAAGGTGTCCCTGCCCATGGCAGGGGGTTGGAACTAGATGACCTTTAAGGTTCCTCCCAACCCAAACCATTCTATGATTCTATGATAGTAATTTGAAATACAAGTCCAGTAGCCACAGCTGGTCGCCTGCAGAAGCATATTTGTGTAACCAAACATTAGCAGGAAAAAGAACAAAAGAGAATCCCCCACCCCCCAACAAGACAAAAAGGCACAAATCATCCTGGTTTCTCAGCTTTAGCTCCGTGGCTGCCGATCATGTCAGCTGTGGAGGCGACACCATTCATCTCGCCCAACTTCAGCTATCTAAAACCGAGTATCACATTCCTTGGCTTGGTCCTCTCCGTGCTCAATTCAGCAGCAAGACACAGGCACCCCCATGGACAATTCCCCATCCCATCTGTCCGGCAGCTGTCTTCCCGAAACACATCTCCCTTCATGAAGGGAGCTCAGACCCTGCCCAAGCTGCCCACTCCGGACAGGAATGGCTCGTGAGCCAAGCAGCCTCCTTTGCTACAATCTGGAACTGGACCTAGCAAAGCACTGAGCAAGTCCTTAATTTTAAATACATAAACAGCTTTTTTAATTTCAGCTAACCAGATCCTTAAAATGAGGCTGTTTGTTTGGATGAAGGCCTGTCTGAATTTCCTAATGCCTGGCTCTGCAAACCCATGCACAGCACTCACTCTTGCTCATACCTCATACTCTTGGGACAATTTCAGGTTATCATTAGCTTTGAGATGCTCTGTGTGTTCAGCCAGCTCGGAAACGGGGATTGGTGGGTGGCTGAGCATACCTAAAAGACAAGACAGCAGGAAAAGAATCTCATTTAATAATAACTAAAATTCACAACCGTTGCACATTTTATAAGAAAGAAGAAACAAGAAAAGAAAAAAAATTACAATGTAAGATCTGCAATGAAAGTAGGGAGGTTAGAAGAGAAGAATTCAGGGCTCGAAATTGTGTCCTTGGAAGTAAAAAATCAAAATCAAGGAAATAAAAAAAACCACCGTAAAATGAGAGTGTTCCAGTGATGGCCCCATTTTCAATGTGTAAATCAGAGCAAAACAAAAAGGAAAATCCGAAGAGCAGATGCGTGTCAGCGATTCCAATAGTGGACTTAAAATGAGCAAACGGTGCCAGAGGAACCTACGCAGCAAATGTTACAGCACCCGCAATGATCATAAACAAACTCCAACACAAAAGAAGAGAAGGGGCAGGGATCCAGCCAACCATGGTGATGTGGGGCAGGGCAAGGGAATGCAGATGGGGGGAAGCAGGGGAGGCTTTTCAGGAACTGTCCTTTGCACAACCCTGGCTCTGTAAGCTTCTCGGTGGGCTCACGGAGGCGGCAGTGTAACCTGCACCGCTCCAAGAGTGCAACTGGGTCTGGGAATGTCAAGCACTAGCTCCTGTTCCTGCTCGTGGCTGGTGGAGGATGCTCCTCCCTTAGCACAGCCCGCAGTTGGCCAGCGCCGCTCTGCCCCTGCCCTCCCCTTCCACCTGCGGGACAGGCCGTACCGGCCCCCTCCCAGTCTCTGTCGGGATGTCACGACCTTTCGTGATGGAGAAGGAAAATATCCTCTTGCTCCTTCTCACTCTGGGGGCTGGGAAACAATTTGCTGCGGAGACGGATGCCTCGTGACCCCGGTTCACCTGCTGCCCTTGCCATTCTCACCGACGATCAGTTGTGCCCGCTCTGAGGCAGAACGGCCGGGGAGCAGACGTGACCTTCCCAAAGACATACCGGAGGACCACGCTGCACCGGGCTGGTCAAATGAAGGCTCATCGCGGCCACAAACGGGGCTGAGCAGTGAAGGTTTTCAGTCTGGAGTGTGGTTTGCACATCCTGCTCTGAGAGGGGCAGCTGGGAAGAGCTGGGATCCTTCCCATCCTATCACCTCGAATAGCTCCAAATCGAGGTGGAAAAGCACTCCCTGCTTTGCTCATCTGCATTGGATCATGGTTTTCCAAAGGCTTCCCATGCTGTCTGCCAGCTGATCCCGCTATGAGTGGCAGCGGGAGGGGAGAGGACAGCAGCATGCCGAGAAGCCCTGGGCAGTGCCCCCCATGAGAAGGACAGGAGTGGAGAAGAGATGGAAGCCAGGGAGAATTTCGAGCCCCGTGGGTGTTGGTGTGTGACAAAGCAGCGGCGGTGGCAGCAGCATGGTCAGATACTCTGAAAACTCAGCACAAAGATGGCAAAGCAAGCATGAATCCTCAGTTTTACAGTGACTTCCAGAGATGCTGCCCCCCCCCACCACCCCAGGCCTGGGGACAGGACAAGTCCCCCATGGAGTGGGGATTTGAGCCACCACTCCAACTGGTTTCTCCTAAGCTAACTAGACATCTATTTTCAGCACAAGGAAGTCTGACTGAAAATAGAAGGGAGGGGGAATGGACCAAAAAAAGTTGACAAAAATACCCCCCAAGTATTCTAGAGGCTGCGCTGGCTCCGTTCTAGTCTGCTGAGCATCAGGGCAGAAAGCCTCTCCCGGCTCACGGAGGAAAAGCTCCGAGGTAATCTCTTGCTGTCCTGTAGCCTGCTGCGGATGGAGAAGGATCTCCCCTTTGCTTCCCACCCTGAACTGGAAGGTGGCTGCCGTTCATCCCAGTACCACAGAACGGGATGCGGACTGGGGCTGCGGGGAGGAACTGGTCCTCTCTGTGGCTGCACGGGACCGGAAGGTCGCCCTGGCCGAGATGCCCGAGATCAGAGACCAAACCCCATTCATGGTGTCAACACTTCTCTCTGTCCTTGTGCCTCTGGAAGCAAGGGCTGAACGTACCTTGAGCTACAGCAGCAGAGCAACGTTGAGCCCTGCTCAGAACAGCCTCTGGCAACTCAGTGAGCCATCTCCAGAGTCTGTGGGTCACCCCCTCACTGACTCCTTCCCCCTGTGCCGGGAGGAGCCGGGCACCTCTGGGCCCAGCTCCTGCCACCTCACTGCTGCAAACCCCTGGAGATTCTTTGCTGAAGTGTGCTTAGAAACACAGCGCCATAAATGAAACCCCAAATGACGAGCACGTAGGTTAAAAGGAAAAAAATAAGCAATCAGAAACCTCAGTAATAACAAGCAAGTAAAAAACACCCAGACGGGCTTAGAAGTCATGGAGCAACGTGTGTCATTCCCTCTGAGCAAGTGGGCTTCATGGGAAAGGCCCACTGTGCCAATCTGGAATGAGAAGTCACATTCCCCTTGAAGGTGTTTCACAGGTTTCCTTCATAAAAGCTCCAAGAAAAATCCGCAGTGTGACTGGCTCTGGAAAACCAGCTCTGTCCCTTTGCTGGGAACATCCTGCCCCCACCTCCACCCCCCCTACAGAGACTCTGACTGAGAGCACATGGGAACTTGCATTGTTTTGCTGCTCTTAAAGACAGAAATCTCCTTTTCGGATGGATTTCTAGGGCTCTTTACAAGAAGACTGGAAACCTCTGCAGCGATAAACACCTTCCTGGTCAAAATGTGCATGGGGGTTCCCATTAAGATCCAGAGGAGTTGGGTATTAAACAAGCCAGGAGTGGTACTTCCCAGTGGTACCAGCTGGCACTGCTGCGGCAGCTTGTCTTTACTCTGCTTGGATTCAACAACTCTTTATTTTCAGACATGAAGGGAAATGGCTCACAGGTCCCTCGGCTCCGTGACCTCCTGGCTCCCTGCGGAACTGCCACCCAGGGAGACCTCCCGCACCGACGAGGGTGGCAGAGCGAGCGCTGCCGGGGGCTGGGCTTTGGCCAGGGGTCAGCGTGGCTTGAAAAACCACACAAACCCCTCTGTTACAATACGGGGGTTGGAGGGAGGTGGCGGGTGGACTGGGACAGTGGGCCGGAGTATTCAGTACCAAAAGAGAACGATATTTGGATTAAACTATTCAGAAAAATGTCCCGGCCCTCACATCTCTGAGCACAAGCAGCATCTGTGATTCTTCACATTTGTCAGCTGAAACCTCACATCTACTTCCCTGCCCAGCATGAGAAAAAAAGAAATCAAACCCAAAACCCACCCAGCAAAGCTGGGATCTTGGCTTCTAATGGGATGAAGTCTTTTAGAGCCAGTCTCATCTAACATTTCAATCACTTGAATCTCTCTAATCTTATCACAAAAGACTTGATTCTCTGTGCACCAGCCAACTCGCCAGAAACGTCACCCTAACATCTGCTACAGGAGCCAGAGCCCATTTATCCTCGCAGAATCACGGCGGCTGGATGGCACTCTGCGTGCAACCCAGGGGCTCTGGAGGGCTGTGGAGAGGCCTCTGGTCTTTGTGCTCCTGGAACAAGTTGATGCCAAGGAACAGACACCTGCCACAGATGGGAAAGGGCCCTTTTCCTCGCCTGCCATGGAAAGGTGCCTGCGCAGCTCTCTCTGAAGAGCGAGGGATCGTCAGCTGCAGCTCTGGTTTTCTCCTTCCCCGCGTTACGAAGCCGTGAACACAGCACCACAGGCACGCACACAGACAACGTTCACACACCGGTGCACGAGAGATGGCTTTCCGCCCGTGGGGAAGCACGAGGGACATTTAGCCAAGCTTCAGAAATGAAACATCTTTGACAACGGGGAGAAAAGGAAGCCTTGGAACCCAGGACTTTCTCCTGAGACAGCAAAAGAGACACAGAAGGACGGACAGTGTCCCAGGCTGCTGCCAGGGCTCTGTGCTGCTGCTACCCTTGTCTTCCAAAGGCCTGTTTTTTGATACTGTAAAACTGGAAGCGCAGTTCAGACAAACAGATGGCACAGAAAAGGGATGAGATGGGCAAACACTGCAAGAACACAGAGAATTTGGCAAAAAAAAAAAAATAGTAACAGGAACGAAACAGAATTGGAAAGGAAAGCGACAAAAGAGAAAAAATAAAAATGGGGGAGGGGGGAAATGAAACCAACAGGAACAAAAACACACAGGAACTAACTTTCAAAGTCAAACTCAGGGTCACTGAGAGGGCTGCTCAGACCAGAATCTGCAGAAAACAGTAAAAAATAAATAAATAAAATATACACTTTTTTAAAAATTTCATGCTAATAAAGAAACAAAAACCAACATAAATCTAAAGAGGAAAAGAAAGTTATTTTTTGTGCTGATTAGGCTAGGACAGATCTCCGAGATGTGCTAGGCTTTCCCCTCTCCGATGCAGAGGCACACTCCCATTCCCACTCCTCCCTGTTTTCCTGCTGGGGACAGGACAGGCTCTCCGCTTGCTGGACCCTGGGTCATCTGGCTGGAGGAGAGCCCACAGACCCTAAACCACGACCTATTTAACTCAAGTGGCTTTAATTCAGACAGCACCTACGGAGTCTTCCCCTCCAAACTGCACCACAAACTCTCCATCATCACCAACACACTTCAAGCTCTGATTTTCCATCCGTTTCCATTTTCACCCAACTGCTATCAGAATTCTGTGGGAGGCAGGTGACCAACTCTCCCAAATCCTTTAAAACCTTTTACTGCAGAATAAACTAGCTGTATAGCAGAATGAACTAGCTAGATGAACCCTTTGGCTAGATAAGCTTACAAAGACAAGGTGGCAGCATCTTTCTAAAGCCAGACTGGACAAAGCCAGGCAGTCCTTTGAGATCTGCAGAACTTGGCCTAGCAGAGCCTCAACAGCAGGTCTGCATGTCTTATCGACCTTTTACAAGCCTCTTAGACCAAAAATTCAGAGGTACTGCATGACCAAACCAGCAGGGTCAACGGAAGACAGACTCACTCATCTACTGATCACGTTAACGGAAGCTCGGAAGTGCCCCTGGCTGACCCAACTGTGAGGACAAGAAATACCCAGTAAGGGAAACACATGGAACAGCACTTCCAGATGCTGCTTAGCACCCAGGCTAAGCTGGATGGCCACAACCTTTTATTTTTATTTTTATCTCAGCATGGGTTTCACGTGGGGGACTGCAGCTCACTCGCTCGGGTCTCACATCACCACCTGGAGCACCCAGAAGCCAGCCTGAACACTCCTGTTTGCACCCAGTACCTAACAATGAGCCCAGACAAACGCCAACTGCTGCTGAGCTGCAGCTGGGGACACTCAAAAGGTCCCAAACACCTCCACACTCTCCTGCAAGAGCACACTAAGAGCTGATTTAGGGACCTAACTGCTGCTGAACTGCTCTGCATTCAGCCCGGGCATGCTGGATTGAACCCGCTTCCCATCCCTCAGCTGAGACCCAGTCGTCCCTAAGCTTGGGCTGATACCAACGGGCTGTTCCTAACTCTTTTGGTGTGAAACCCTCAGCTCAGTGCTGCCTTTGTGCTTCCCCAAAGATCCCTGCCCTCTGGGTACCTACTGCCTTGCCAACCTCCCGCTACAGAAACTCAGACAACGCTAAGGACAGGACTGGGATGGGAAGGGGAAACAGGAGCTGCAGAAACATTACTAACAAGCACAAAACAGCAAAAAAATACAAACGAACTGAAAACAACAGCCAGCCCCCAAAAAGCACAATAGATTCCCTTCCAAATCCTCAAGCACCAGGAACTCGGACGCAGAGGTGGGTACCAGCGCGCAGGCACTGCTCAGCATCTCCAAGTGTCGTCTGCCTGGGCCAGGCCGTGTCCGTGGTGGCTCACAGAGGTGCCATGCAGGCAGCTTAGACATGCATGTGCACGGGGACACACGTGTGCAGAAAGGAGGGTGCATCGAGCCTCTCTGCCCGGGAGTCAAGTCAGGTACGTGTTCGCAGGGATGGCGTCCTGCACTAAGCGAGGAGACGTGGCCTTGTCCGCGTGAAGCAACCGAGGGCCCTTCTCTCCCCGCACAGCCCACGGGGCAGGCCCGGCTCCTCACAAGTGTTTTGGCACGTTTGCAGAAAGCACCGGTTACAGACACAGCTGGAGCAGGGCTTCACGGCCACCGTCCCTGGGGATCAGCCAGTGAGAGGCACGGCACTGCGCGGCAGCGTGGATGGCCTGGCAAGCTTGGCACGGCCACGGCACTTGCAGCGGTGTACTTAGCCCAGAATTTAGCACCAATTTTAGCTGGGCATCCAGGAAAGCCCTTCTTCCTGCCGTGCCAGCGCTGGGCAGAGCCTGTGCAAGGTCCCTGTGTTTCCCAGGAAAGGTTTATCTCAGCAGCCTCGCTTAGCACAGACAAGGCTTTGAGGCTCCTTGGCTGCCTCCTGGGTTAGCACTAGGTCCCAAAGGCAGCACTGCAGGCAGGAAGGGGTTAAGGAAAGGCCAGTTGATCCACTCCTGCCTTCCCAGGGAGAAAGGCTGGTTTGCAGCCAGTTACCTGGAGTTTGGAAGTTGATGCGCCTCATTTCCACAGGGTCCTTAGGGTGGTGAGGGGTGATTTCGGCGTTGTTCAGGAGGCATTTTGTCCGTGGCTCTGAATCTTTCCGTTTGCTTTAAAAAACAACAAATGAAATGAAAAAAAAAAAAACCCCTAAAGACAAAGCATCTTAGCTTATGGGCCTTCTAGTCTTTTCAGCTACTCAAGATGCGTCCAGACCTGAGCAAAGCTCCCACCAACATCAGGGCCAGATGCAGCTGCATAAATGCCTCAGAAAAGGGATGTGGGGTTGGGAAGGTTTTGTCGGCGCTGGATTCAATGGGTTGACTACGGCCCAGCAGCCCCTCAGCAGCTTTCAGACAACGTCTGTAAGTTCCCCCTTCCCCAGCAGCACAGACAGGCAGCAAGAAGCAGCTGAGGTGCTGTGAACTCCCAGTTCAGCCTCCACTGATCTCTGCAGAGCTCTGCAAGCAGAAACCTTCCAATTCTAGCCAAGCCATTGTCAGCCTGGAAGAACCAGAGCCAACATCATCATTTGGAAAAGTACAGAATCTCCTGGCTGTCACCTTGGACGTAAAGTACCGATACGGCTGTGTTGGCTTGTGTAGGAGCTCTCAGTGCCTTGTTGCAGACAGAGGAGTCAGAGAAGTGGTTTTCAAACCTTTCTGATCTGCAAAACCCTAAATCTGGGTTCAAAAAACAGTAGCCACATCCTCTCCCATCACAGCTGTGCCTGCTGAGATCTGTCTCACCTCCCTGCCAGAAGCTGCAGCCCGCTCCAACCTGCCAGCTGAGCTGCACATGGAAGCGCTTCCCGATATATTTTGCTCAAAATGGGTTAGGTGAGCCGAGGCGGTTGAAAAGTCATTGCTGACCTGGCTCATTCTCCCTGAAAAGAGCCTGGAAGTAAAGCCCAGTGCTGATCTGAAGATGTGATAACCTCTGGCAAGGGAACAGTGACAAGGTGCTGGGAGGAGAACACCTCCGCACCCTGAGGCTTGCAAATGTTGTCCTGGCCCTTCCAGCAAGATGGGTCTGGAGCTCCTTAACTCTCCTGCTTGGGTTGCCCAGAAGCCTCCAATAATAGCCCTGCAGCAATAATGGCAATTACTTAGGCAGAGGGGAGGTTATTCAGTACATTTTTAGCTGTCTCTTAATGTCATTAATAGCTAGAAGAAGTGGCATGAGCCCTGCCAGCACTGCATGGGGCAGCATTTTGGAGTAACACCACTTTGCAGTTTGGGAGTAGTTTATTTTTGCCACAGTTCTGAAACTGCTGTCAACAGTTCACTGGCTAAACCCATCAGTTACTTCCAGTGAAAGCTCTCCCAGCCTTGGAAGTGGTTCGAAATAAGTCTCATTTGTGCAGTCATAAACGAACTCTGTTAGAAGTCCCTGGCTGATGGGGCAAGAACAGCTTTTGCAACGGGGTGAGGACAGCTCAGCTGCTGAGATTCTGCTGCCAGTGTTCCAGTGGCTCAGGGACAGCCAGTATGGAGCAGTCAGACACGGAGAAAACCCGCTTTCACCTCCGACTGCCACACAAATGGGTGTTTCTCTGCTCCATTAACCCAACATTTTATGAGCCGTTTACTGTCACTGCTGCTCAGCTTGAGAAAGGGCCATTCTATTTAGGAATGGACGAGCAGGAGAAAGCTGGGCTTTCTTTGCCTTTTGTGCCCTGATTCAAACATGGCCCGGTGCCAGCCTGACCCAGGGCGTCTGTCAGGACAGCTCTAATGGTAGGACCTGTACCAACAAAGCCCCATCGCCGCAGCGAACACTGCCTAACGCACAGCCAGCCCAGCAAGAAAGAACCTAAATAAATGGCAAATCTGGTGCTCTTACCTGTCTGGCTTGCTGTCCAGGAAAGCAGTAAGTGGAGAGAAGACAAGACAAATGTTCAGGTTAGAAAGGACTTGCAGATGAAAGGGGAAGCATTTGCTCAGCTCTAACCCTGGTCACACTGGTGAAAAGTGGGACCAGCAAAGATGACCCGTTCAGAGCAGTGCTAACCAACAGGGACCCGCCTGAGCCCCAGAGCCACTTGTGTGTCCAGCAGCTTCACAGATGCAGAAGAGACACAGATGAAGTGAAGCTTCACTTCAGCAGCTTCACAGATGCAGAAGAGAGACCATGTGCATAAGCAAACACACCCGTGCAGATGACAGCTGGAGCAGGGTTAGGAGAGGTCCCTCCATCCTGCATGCTAGATGTCCCTGCTAAGGACATCTCTACACTGGCCACAGCTGCCATCCTGCTGCTTCTCTCCCTCAGCACCTGCTTCCTTTCCTGTCCTCTTTCATTGCAGTGTGGCCTGGGTGTGCTCAAGCGGCCCCCATTCCCATACAAGACCCTCTCCGAAAGCCAAGGATTTCCAGGGGTTGTTCCTTCCTGCCCTGCTGCTGCTCATCTCCCAACTCCAGCTGAAACCCAGTCTGGGAACAATGGAGGTATCTGCCGATCCACAGCACGAAGGTGTTTTCTCGCACTGTGCACACGCAGAGCACGGGAAGGGGAGCCTGAGGCTGTGGCTGTGAGCAGTTCTTCTGGAGGAGACGGGCAAGAGACCTGACAAACTCATCGCACACATGCCACAACAGACTGTCTATAGACAAGCACAGCTTTACTGAGAGTGCCATGGGGTAGATGCTGAAGCAGCAAGTCCCTGCAACCCACTGAATCTCTCTGTGCCAGTCAGACCCTTCCATCTCAGCATTTCTGCCTCCGGGCTCCTTGCTCTGGTGCTGGTGGAAGGATTTACCCTCAGCTGACAACTACAGGACCAAGGAGGAAATTCCCTTTAGGGGCTAGAGCTGGGGACATTCTGAATGGTCAGAATGTGGAATGTGTAAGAAGCATCTCTTACTTTTTGTAGAGTAGAATGGCAATGACAATGCAGATGATGAACACCACAGCCAGGACGGGCCCGATGACCCAGATCAGCCCTTCCTCTCCATCAATGATTGGCTGTGGATCCGGGTTGTCCAGCTGGATGGGGTCGGAGAAAGGACTGGCAGCAAAAGTCTGGAAGACATGAAAGATTGTGAAACAGAGTTCAGAGAGGGAAGGGGGACTGAAAACAATGGGAAGCATACTGTATCCACAGGAGAAACTGTTGGAGAAGATGTGAGCTGTATTCAGCACAAACCAAGTAATATCAGAGAAAATGCTCTCTTTGATCTGTACAAAAAACTCTGGTCTGTGACATCCGTGTGACAGGTACCTGCCTCCTCCAGTGCTCCAGGCAAGACAGACCACTAGAAGACCACATTCACATGAAGTTGTAGACTTGCTCATGCCTACAGCTCACCTAATCTTTCAGCCAGGAAGGTGCTTTTAGAAACGCAGTTCACTGTGCCTCTGCTCCACCACATCCCTGAGCCCTCTCCACTGCCACACTTTCTCCAAGCTCTCATGTAACCATTTGGATTTTGACAGTCAGATGGGATTACAGAGAAAAAGGGAAGGGATTAGAATCATAGAATTAGCGCTTAGAAACAGTCTGGTCTGGTGACTGAAAAAACCAACCCTTACAATCAAATATAAATTAATAAAATGCAGTATGTCTCCTCTGCTGCCTCTGCAGTGAGCTGGGCTCTTGAGGAGAATGTGAGGCACGTTCAGACCCATCACAGTCCTAATGGCCAGGCACTGCCTGCTTGTTCTCCTGAGTGCTGCAACCCCCCTGCCCCAGGAAGGCTGCATTCCCTCCCATCTTACACAGAAACAACAACACACAGAGAATGGCATGTCCTGGTCTGAGAACGGGAGATCTGGGCTCTGGGTCCTTGAACTCCATCAGCCCTCAGCAGGACGGAAACGTGGCTGCATTCTGGGGAGTCGCTGTGAATCCAGGCCGTTGTGAGCGGGAATGCAGTACCTTGTTCTAAAGCAGAAATTACCACAAGCTGCAGTAATCCGATTGAGAAACCCATTCAGAAGCGTGTCAGCCTAATCCTTTAATATCAAATACACAACTAAATATTTATTTGGGGAAAAAACCTTTGAAAATCCTTAATTTCGAATAGCTCCCTGCTACAACTCCATAGGGGGATTTTAAAAACAACGAAGTATTAGGCTGCTTCCTATTGTGCGTGAGGGAGGAGACAGGTAAATATTCAATCAGTTGTTTTCATAAAGCCACACACAGCACCACTGCAATCAGAGGTGCTGAAGTGGTAAAAAAAAGCAGAGCGCACATGTAGTTTTCCATAAGAAAACTGCTCCCCTCTTTGCCTGGCAGGGAACTTAGGAATGAGCAGGGCATGTGACATCCCAAAGCAGGATGTCTAGGGTCCTTGCTCTAAGGAATACAAGGACAGCCTCTACAAGAAATTACTCTTTGTAGGTTTGACCTAGGGATCTCTGAACTTGAGTGTAGTTCTGAGTGGAGAGTTCAGAGCTCCACGCTCTGGACTCAAATCTGGAGTCACATGTGTAGCAAGTCCCGCCTGTGAAGACTGGTGAAATGCAGCAGCAGCGCACAAGACGCTTGTGTCATCAGCCTGTCTGCTCGGAGGAACACGTTTTTGCTGCAGGCAGACACAAGCACAAACAGCTCCAGCAGCCACACGCAAAAGCTTCACAGCTGGACTGGAAGGTCTTTACAAAGCAAAAAAAAAAACCCTCCAGCTCTGGTGGGAGAGTTACGGGGAATGCCAGGAGGGCAGCGGGGCAGCTCGCAAGGGAGCAGATGCAGAAGCATCTCAAGAGGGCAAGGGAAAGCGGGCAGCACTTACAGCCTCTGGTTCCTGCAGCACTGCCAGGATGAAGATGACGTACTTCTGCCCAGGCTCCAGGGCTCTGTTCTCGAAGTTGTCGTAGTGCTTCATGTCCCCCAGGATGAAGTGGGAGGGGAGGGAACGAAAACGGGCCGCAATGTAGGGTTTGGGGAAGTCTAGTTGTCGGGAGTGACGCAGACTTCGTCGTCGGAGCCTGGCAATGTCCTGAATGAGCTGGAGGAAGCAAAGGAACACTGTGAGCTCTGATACCTTCAGGATGGAGAACCAAACCATCCCACTTGGCTTGGCCTGGCCTCAGCTACTCAGAGCATGGAGCAGAGGTGCCCCAACCCCCCCTTCCCAGAATCTCGGGTCCTCATCACACCCGTTACAGCTGTGTGCTCTCTCCCTGCAGCTGGCTTCCCTTTCACCCACACTCACCTCCTCCAGGTCCATCTCCTCAGGGCTGCCCAGGGGGTTGAGGAACTGTCCTCCCCGGGACTTCCTTAGAGGCACCACCACGATGTAGTAAGCCCTAAAAGTTGGGAATAATCAGAAGAAATAGGAGGAATTAGATTCCTCCTTTGAGCCACAGAAGATGACAGGCACACACTGCTGGTGGAAGGCTAGGTTTGGCCAAGCAGCCCCACTGGCCCAACCCAGCAAAACCCTTATTTTTAATTTAGCACAGTACTTATTTCTGCTCCTGAAACGAGCCTGGATAGTGGCAGCCCTATACAAAACGTCTCCTTATTTACTACCTTTGCATTTTTTGGCATCCCTGTTAGCTCTGGGAAGTAGCTCCAAAAGACAACAGTAAGCAAGGCTAAAAATGCAAGGAACACATGCCTTGCCACTGCCCTTGGGGGTTTGTACTGCGGACTCCAACCATCAGGGCTGACCCCCAAAACATAAACTGAGGACCCCATGTTTGCAGTTCATCAGAAACCTACTGGACAGGCACAGAGCTCTTCACATCTGGGAAAATCACCACCACGTTGCCATCAGCATCAGGCTTGTGGGTCACCTCTGGCTTCTTCGATAACATGTCGGCAGCGGTCCAGGCAGCGACGTTCTGCTGCAAGCCACCCATGCTATTGCCCCGGTTCATGAGCACGAAGTTGTAGAACGTGCGGGGCTTCAAGTTGGTGATGAGCTTCTTGGTGGTGCGGCCGTCCACATCGACATTCAGCCCGTTGTACTGGATCTGTGGGAAGCAAAGAGACAGCAAAGCTGTGCCATGAGCAAGGCTGATGCTGTTCAAGCAACCAAACTCCATCCTCCCCATCGCGTCAGTCTGCAGAGACCACTCAGCTGTGCCCTGCTCCACCCAGCTCTGCCGGAGCTGGAGCAAACACAGGAGTAGGAGGGATTCGAGCGGGAAGCAAGAGGTCTGTTGGGCCCACCGCACTGAGGTGTCCCTCAGTATATGACAGATGCCAGATAAAGCCTTGGGACTTTCTCCGGGAAGAGAAATTTTTATCTGGAAACAGGAAAATCATGGTAACTTGCCTAGGGAGGCAATAATTTGGTAAGAGAGGTGGGAATGCAAACCAACAACCCTCATTTTCAACCCATTTCCTTGATTAACCATTATCTGCCCATATCTGAGAACTGAATCCAGAATTCCTGCCTCTTACAACCTCTTACTCACACTGGCAGACAAGATTCCCAGAAAAATGAGAAGGAACACAGTTCTGACTCCTCCCTTCCACTTGCCTTGTATGGGGTGGGAGAGTTGTAATTCTCAGGAAACTCCCAGCTCAAAAGGACAGATGTCTTTGTCACCATCTTCACCTTGAAGTTCTTGGGTAAAACTGCTGAGAGAAAAGTGAGGAGGAAGGGGAGAAAGGAGAAGTAAAGGCAGCAGAGGGAAGGAAGAGCAAGAAAGAGAAGGAAGAGAATGTCAGGCACTGGCAAGAAGGCCTGCCAGTCTGGCTGCTGCTCGAGGGGA